AGCCCGTGTACATACTCGTCACCTCGTGTACACGTCTTTCACATAATTCAAATAACATAATTAACTCGTCTTCCATATAATTCAAATAACACAATTAACCCAAATCCTAATGTGTAGTTTCCCCACACAAAGTTAGGCAAGATACTTACCTTAACTAGGACAAATCAACTCTCAAAAATAGCTTTTTCCCTAAAACTCGCCTCTACGGGCTCAAATCTAACCAAAAACGACTTAATAACATCAAAAAATGCAAGAGAAACCAATTACGATTAATAAATGTATGATCTTTACACAATTTTTCAAAAGTCAACAAAAGTCAATCCTAGGTTTGTCCTGTCAAAACCTGGGTCCAAGGGTAGATCCCTACCACCCATAACCCCACGTGTACATATATGTATTTTGTTTTCAAATCTGAGTCCAAATCGACTCTCAAAACCCAAATTTTTATTTTTCAAAACTTTGATAAAAATCCCAAAAATTCCTCTTTGTTTCTCATAAATTTGATGTTAAATATAATATATAATCATGAAATATAGTTTTAAATTGATTAGAATCACTAACTAAATGATTGTAGATTAAAATCCCCTCTCCAAGTCGCCGCCTAGCGAGTCTAGGGTTCTATAATGAGAGAAAATAAGATAAAATCCCGACTTCCAGCCGTTTTGTTCAGTTGCAGATGTCGCAATTGTGACTCTGGGTTCGTAATTGTGAACCCTTGCAATTGTGAAGAAAGTCTCGCATTTGCGGCTGCTGACAAACCCAGGAGATGTCGCAATTGCAACAGAGACTTCGCAAATGCGAAGTCTGCCCTCCTTGCAAATGCGACCTATTTATCGCAAATGCGAACTAACCCATCGAAGCATAATCTTCGCAAATGCGAACAAGGTATCGCAATTGCGATATTTGAGTCCCCCTTGTAATGTTCTTAATTGCAAAGCTGGTGCTCGCAATTGCGACACTGTAGCACCAGCACACCAGCAACCTGTATTTGAGTCCAAACCTTTCTGAAACACGTCTGAAACTCACCCGAGCCCTCGAAGTTCCAAACCAAACATCCACACAAGTCTAAAAATATCATGCGCACTTGCTCGCGTGATAAAAACCCAAAAACAACATCTAGAACTACGAATCAGACATCAAAGCACAGGAATTTTAAAGAAAAGTTAAAGAACCTCTAGAATTACAACCAAACGTCTGAATCCTATCAAACCAACTCCGATTGACACAAAATTTTGCGTACAAGTTCCAAATAGCAAAACGGACCTATTTCAAGTACCAAAACCAAAATTTGAAGCTGATAGCCAAAAATTCAACCTATGGTCAAACTTGGGAAAACTTATAAGCCTCAAATTGCCAACTTTCGGCAAAATAAGTCAAATCAACCTAGGGACATCCAAATTTAATTCCAGGCATACATACAAGTACAAAATCATGATACAAATCTATCGGATCCATCAAAATACCATTCCGAGATCGTTTTCACAAAATTCAAATATTGATCAATATTTTCAACTTAGGCTTCTAAACCAAGAACCAAAGGGTCCAAATCAATCCAAAACCTTTCCGGAACGAAACTAACCAACCCCGCAAGTCATAAAACCACTAATACACATGTGTGAAGAATCAAAGGAGGAAGTGCGGTACAAATACACATAACGACTGGTCAGGTCATCACATTCTTCCCCTCTTATGAGAAACGTTCATCCTCGAACGTGCATAGAGACATAACTGAAGTGACGAAAAGGTGAGGATAACAACTCCACACGTCATGCTCGGTTTTCCAAATCGCCTTCTCGACCGGATGACCCCTCCATCGAACCTTCAATGAAGCAATGTTCTTTGATCTCAACTTCCGGACTTGCCTATCCAAGATAGCCACTGGCTCCTCAGCATAAGCCAAATCCTTGTCCAATTGGACTGAGCTGAAATCTAATACATGTGATGGATCACCATAAGACTTCCGGAGCATGGAAACATGGAACACCGGGTGAACTGCTGACAAGCTAGGTGGCAATGCAAGTCTGTAAGCCACCTCACCAACTCTCTTAAGGATCTCAAAAGGACCAATATACTTAGGGCTCAACTTTCCCTTCTTCCTGAACCTCATCACCCCTTCATGGGTGAAACCGGAAGCAAAACCCTCTCTTCCACCATAAATGATACATCACGGGCCCTCCGATCAACATAACTCTTCTGTCTAGACTGTGCTGTACGAAGTCGATCCTAAATCAATTTGCCTTTCTCCAAGGCATCCCAAACCAAATCAGTGCCCAACAACTTAACCTCACCCTGCTCAAACCAACCAACTGAATAACGGCACCGCCTCCCATATAAGGCCTCACAATGAGCCATCTGAATACTCGATTAGTAATTGTTGTTGTAGGAGAACTTTGCAAGCGGTATAAACTGATCCTATGAACCCTCAAAATCCATAACATAAGCACGTAGCATATCCTCCAAGATCTGAATGGTATGCTCGGACTGCCCGTCCTTATGGGGATGAAATGTTATACTCAACTTGACCCGCGTGCCCAACTCACGCTGCACAGCTCTCCAGAAATACGATGTAAATAGAGTGCCTCGATCGGAGATTGTGGATACCGGCACACCATGGAGACGAACAATCTCGTGGATATAGATCTGAGCCAGCTTCTCTGAAGAATAGGTAGTCACCACTAGAATAAAATGTGCCGAATTGATCAGCCTATCAACAATAACCCACATTGCGTCAAAATTCTTCAAAGTCCGTGGGAGCCCAACAATGAAATCCATGATAATACGCTCCAGCTTCTACTCGGGAATCTCAAGTCTCTAAAGCAAATTGCCAAGCCTCTGATGCTCGTACTTTACCTGCTGACAGTTCAAGAACAAGCTACATACCCCACTATATCTTTCTTCATTCTTCTCTACCAATAGTGTTGCCTCAAATCCCGATACATTTTCATAGCACCCGGATGTATGGAATACTGCAAACAGTGGGCTTCCTCAAGGATAAACTCACACAACCCATCTACATTGGGTACACATATCCAGACCTGCATCCACAACACCCCATTATTACCGATAAAAACCTCCTTGGCATCGCCGTGATATACCGTATCCTTAAGGACAAGAAAATGGGGGTCATCTTACTAACGCGCCCTGATGCACTCATATAAATAGGATCGAGAAACCACGCAAGCAAGAACTCATCTAGGCTCCGAAACGTCTAATCTCACAAACTGATTAACAAGGCCTTAACATCTATGGCTAGTGGCGTCTCTGTTGCCGGTGAATATGCCAAACTGCCCATACACTCCACCTTCCTACTCAATGCATTGGCCACTACATTGGCCTTCCCGGAATAATATAGTATGGTGATATCATAGTCTTTAAGCAACTCTAACCATCTCCGTTGCTGCAAATTAAGGTCCTTCTTGAACAGATGCCGGAGACTCCGATGGTTGGTATAGACGTCACATGGAATGCCATACAGATAGTGACTCCAAATCTTCAATGCGTGAACAATGGTTGCTAGATCTAAGTCATGCACATGATAATTCTTCTCATGAACCTTCAACTGCCGGGATGCGTAGTCAATCACCCTACTGTCTTGCATCAACACCGCACCAAGCCCAATACGCGATGCATCACAATACATAGTGTAAGACCCCAAACCTGTAGACAACACCAACACTGGGGATGTAGTCAATACAGTCTTGAGCTTTTGAAAGCTCGCCTTACACTCCTTAGACCATCTGAAAGGAATACCCTTCTAGGTCAATCGAGCCAAAGCAGCAGCAATGGACGAGAAACCCTCTACAAAATGTCGATAATACCCGACCAAACCAAGAAAACTCTGAATCTCAGTAGCAGAAGACGGTCTAGGAAAACTTTGAACTTCCTCAATCTTCTTTGGATCTATCTTAATCCCCTCACTAGATACCACGTGACCCAAAAACACCACCAAATCAAGCTAAAACTCACACTTTGAGAAATTTTGCATATAACTTCTTATCCCTCAAGGTTTGGAGCACGATCCTCAAATGCTACTCATGATACTCAGAGATGCAGGAATATACCAAGATGTCATCATTGAATACGATGGAGAATGAATCAAGATATGACTGGAATACACTGTTTATCATGTGCATAAATGCTACTGGGGTGTTGGTAAACAGCTGCCTATAATCGATACACTAGAAACTCATAGTGGCTATATCGAGTCCTGAAAGCAATCTTCAGAATGTCTGAATCCCGAATCTTCAACTGATGATATCTTAACCTCAAATCAATCTTCGATAACACTCCAGCACCTTGAAGCTAGTCAAACAACTCATCAATGTGCAGTAGTGGGTACCTGTTCTTGACTGTAACTTTCTCCAGCCACTTATAATCGATACACATCCTCATAGTACCATCCTTCTTCTTCACAAACAAATGGAGCACCATAAGGCGAGACACTTGGTCGGACGAAATCCTTATCAAGAAACTCTTCTAGTTGCTTCTTTAACTCTTCAACTCCACCGGTGCCATACGATATGGTGGAATAGAAAGGGGATGAGTGCACGGCACTAGGTCAATACCAAAATCGATATTCCTATTGGGCGGCATGCCCCAAATGTCTGTTGGAAATACATCTAAAAAATCTCACTACTAGAACTGACTTAACGGTAAACATATCAGCACTAACGTCTCTCACAAAGGCTATATATGCCTCAAACCCCTTCTCAACCATTCATCGTGCCTTAAGAAAGGACACAACCCCGCCAGATATAATCCAATGTACCCCTCCACTCCAACAATGGGAAACTTGGCATAGCCAATGCCACGGTCTTGGCGTGACAGTCCAAAATAGCATGATAGGGAGACAACCAGTCCATACCCAAGATCGCATCAAAGTCTACCATATTGAGTAGAAATAGATCAACTCTGGTCTCATAACCACCAATGGCACCTAGACTCTAAGACTAGGTAAGCCTGACATTCATTGATAGCTTAACAGAAATAACAAACCAAGATAACAAAATAAACCTATAAAGCTCATAATAACTCCAAAACAGAAAATCAGTAACAAAATCCCCAAAACAGGTGGAACCGAGTCATAAGCTTTAGAGAATGTACTAAAACCTCTAATACAACATTGTCCGATAATAGGATGAACAATAGTAAAGTAATAACAGAAGGTGACTCTGAGGCCTACGAGCGTCGAGAAGGTATACCTTGAAGTATCCAGATATAATTGTACGATCACTAGTGTCCGACACGAGCAGATGTACCTAGATCTGCACAAAAATATGCAGAAATGTAACATGAGTACACCACAACGGTACCTAGTAAGTATCAAGCCTAACCTCGATAGAGTAGTGATGAGGCCAGGTCAAGACACCTACTAGCATAAGAAAACTGAACAGAGCATAGTATAGTCTAATAATGGAAAGTGAGGAAATAAATGAAAATAAAGCAGTACAATAATGTAGGCTAATGACGAAATTTAAGGCGGTAAAAGCAACAAGAAGTGAACACATGAGGAGAACAACAAGTGATCAAATACGGACAAATACAAGTAAGACAATGAAGAAAACAACGAGAATTGTCCAACCAACAAGCCTTTTTAACATGCAATATACAACAAGAATCACAACCGATGTATCATACCTCATAACCTCATTTCACAAATCACAATCACAACCTTTTCTTATATTGCCGCGTGAACCTTACATTTAGATATTTTTGAAAATATTTTCACGAAATAGCTACACGCGCTTTAGCCCTCTTATGTCGCCATGTGGCTTCAAGTAATTCCCTTACTAGCAACACGCATATAAATCTCACTTTATATCGCTGCATGCACATTAACCCTATCCTTATTCACAATATCACAACACAACACAATATCAACTCGTACCACATGTTCCCATATACCACAACTTACCAAATTCACAATACCAAATGTTACCACAACATATAGCTCATGGCTGAACCACAATGTCTACAAGAATCTCAAATTAACAAAATGAATGAGAAATAGTCAACAAGGAAACTTATTTTAACAACCAACAACTTCAACCTCAATGTGTTAATAGCTTTTCACGACTTCAACCTCAATAACTCAAAATGTTTCCACGAAATGACAATTTCCAATTCAAATACATAGCATAAGCTTAACAATGAAAGAGATAATATGAAATGGTAACTACATCTAAATGCATGAGAATGACTCAACGCAACAAGACATCATGTAATAACAACACCAATAAGAATAACTCGATAATAAAAGAGATAACATGACAATAAGAGAGGTAACAATATCAATTAAGAAATATAAGAGCATGTTTGACAACAAAAGATAAAACATGTGTTAACAACATCAAGTAAAGCATATAAGAGTAATTTAACAATGGAAGATATAATATGATATGACAATATCAATTAAATGCATGAAAGATCCTAAGAGTTTAGACCTGTCAAAATACCACATATAATCCCGTGTACACACTCATCACCTCGTGTACACGTCTTTCATATAATTCAAATAACACAATTAACCCAAATCTAAAGGGGTAGTTCCCCCCACAAAGTTAGGCAAGATATTTTCCTTTACTAGGATAAATCAACCCTCAAAATAGCTTTTCCCCTAAAATTTACGTCTGCACGACTCAAATATAACAAAAATGATTTAATAATATTAAACAATGCAAGAGAAACCAATTACGATTAATAAAGCTATGATCTTTACACAATTCCCCAAAAGTCAACCCCGAGCCCACCTAGTCAAAACCCGGGTCCAAGGGTAGATCCCTACCACCCATAACCCCACGAGTACATACATGTATTTTGTTTTCAAATCCGAGTCCAAATCGACTCTCAAAACCCAAATGTTTTATTTTTCAAAACTTTGGTAAAAATCCCCAAAAATCCTCTTTGCTTCTCATAAATTTGATGTTAAATCAAATATATAATCATGAAATATAGTTTCAAATTGATTAGAATCACTAACTAAATGATTGTAGATTAAAATCCCCTCTCCAAGTCGCCTCCTAGCGAGTCTAGGGTTCTAAAATGAGAGAAAATGAGATAAAATCCTGACTTCCAGCCGTTTTGTTCAGTTGCAGATGTCGTAATTGTGACTCTGGGTTCGTAATTATGAACCCTCACAATTGCGAAGAAAGTCTTGCATTTGCGGCTGCTGACAAACCCAGGAGATGTCGCAATTGCAACACAGACTTCGCATTTGCGAAGTCTGCCCTCCTTGCAAATGCGACCTATTTATCGCAAATGCGAACCAGGTATCATAATTTCGATATCTGAATCCCCCCGTCATGTTCGCAGTTGCAAATCTGTATTTGAGTCCAAACCTTTTCAAAATATGTCTGAAACTCAACCGAGCCCTCGAGGCTCCAAACCAAACATCCACACAAGTCTAAAAATATCATACATCAAAATGCATGAATTTCAAAGAAAAGTTCAAGAACCTCTAGAATTGGAACCAAGCATCTGAATCCTATCAAACCAACTCCGATTAACACCAAAGTTTGCAGACAATTTCCAAATAGCAAAACAGACTTATTCTAAGTCGCAAAATCAAATTTCAAAACCAATAACTAAAAAGTTAGCCTACGGTCAAACTTGGGAAAACTTCTAAGCCTCAAATTGTCAACTTTCGGCAAAATAAGTCAAATCAACCTAGGGAGATCCGAATTCGATTTCGGATATACGCACAAGTCCAAAATCACGATACGAACCTATCAGAGCCATCAAAACACCGTTATGGGTCTTTTTTCAAAAGTCAAACACTGGTTAACATTTTTAACTCAGGCTTCTAAACCAAGAACCAAAGGGTCCAAATGAACCCAAAATCTTCCCGAAATGAAACTAACCAACCCCGCAAGTCATAAAACCACAAATGCACATGTGTGAAGTATAACAAGGGGAAGCGGACCGTAGATAGACATAACGACTGGCCGGGTCGCCACTGTTCCTCAAAAGCGGAGGGTCAGCTTTTGGAGGAAGCTGCAGATGCGGCCACTGTTCCACAGAAGCAGGACCGCAGGTCCGGTTAAGTGAGCCGGAGGTACGAGAATCACTGGGTAGATGTTAAAACAAGGGTTTTGGCCATTCTTCTCATTTTGGATTTGTGAAACTCGGTCTAAGGTGATTTTTGGGAGACTTTTTACTACAATTGAAGAGGTAAGTTAAGTTTAATCACTTTGATGTTAGATATTGATTACTCATTGATTATTACACTTAGTTTATGTGAATTAGAAGTGAAATTGGGAATTTTAGACTATGTTGTTGGAGAGTGATATTTGATGGTTTGAGGGTCAATTTGTCGATGGAATTGGATGAAATTAGTTTGGTTGGTCTTGAATTGAATGGGTATTCGGAATTTGTGAATCTTGTCGGGTTCTGGGGTGCGGGCCTGGGGTTGACTTTTTGGGTTGACATTGCATATTTGATTCAAGTCGTTAACTTTATCATTTGAAATTATTTTTTATGGCTATTATTAATGGTATTAAGTTATTTTGGCTAGATTTGAGCCGTCTGGAGGTTGATACACGCGGGAAGGGCTTGTTAGAGGAGTGATTCGGCTTGCTTGAGGTAAGTATCTTACCTAAACTAGGTTGAGGCACTGGTTGCCTGAGTTATTTGTGATAGCTACATGCTATGTGTGGCGTATATGTATGGGGTTGAGCCCATACTCGGGCTAGTGCTTAGGCTATGATATGCCTTGAATTGATTGCTAAGCTTCATGTTGTGATGTTTCTCCTATTTGTACCCATATGTGAGCTATTTATAACCACATTAGAGATTACGTTAAGGTTATTCTCTCAAGTGAACCTGATAAACTGCTATATCATGATGAAATTGTCTGTTCTAGGTGTGATAGCACACATTGCACATGCCTACACCATAGCATGTTATTTATACCAATCTAGGAGTATGAAACTCGATAATCATTGATCTTGTACATGTATTATTGTATATTTGCTTTTTGTGTGTTATGATTTGGACTGGTAGTCTGTGATCAAGCCGGGCGAATTGTGATTATTGGCACATGAGTTGTCCGTGCGATTGGTATTATCAGCACATTAGTTGTTCATGCAGCACATGAGTTATCTATGCGGATCCAGATATTGATATTATTGGCACATGAGTTATCCATGCAGCATGGGAGTTGTCCTTGCAGTTGATATTATTAGCACGTGAGTTATCCGTACAACATGTTGATATAGATCCATCCCCCTAGGGTCACCCTCTCATGTGCCTTCTTGATGGTGTACATGCGGATTTGAAGAAATTGATAAGTGGTTTGGTACGGATATGGAAATATTGAGGAAAATCTTGCCAGTGTTATCTTTGGATTTTGCATTTCATCTTTACTTACAATTTGCGTGGTTAATTACCTGACTTATTTTCATATCCTCTTTATATGTTGTATCAATGACTGAGCAGAGAACTTGAGTAATTGTGCACACACATATGGTTCTTTCTGTGCTTTATGACTTGATCAATTATTTTTTTGTACTTGTTGAATTGATGAAACTGTATAGGTTATAGCAAGTATCATTTATAATTCTTGCTTCTTTTACCTTGCCGAGGTTAGTTATGATACTTGTTGAGTGTCACACCTCTTTTTTTCCGAAGAATAGGGGAGTTTTTCCAATTAAAGTGACATTATTCGAAATGAGATTATTTATTTAATTAGAGTTGCTACTTGAAATATTTATTATGGTGTCCCAAGTCACCGGTTTATTATAAAATCCTAAATCGAAGACATTGACTCTATTTATGCTCCGCAAACACAGAAGACCGAGTAAGGAATTATGTTAACCCGGAAGAAGGTGTGAGGAACTCTCGAGTTCCGTGGTTTTAGCACTGTCGCTTAACAATTAATACTTGGCTTAATTATCTGAATTATTACATATCTAAAAGCATATTGTGCATTTTATCTTTTACTGCTTTTAATTAAATTGTAACCGCTTTTATTTTTAGCCATTTTTAGTATTTATGGAATTTATTTGAACAAGTCACGATGTCGCGCACTTGTTATTTTTGTACACATTGCAAATCACGTCACGTGAAACGTACCCGCAATTTATAACATATTTATTTTATTATTATTTTAAGTTGGAGTCAAGTCACGTAAACGCGCACTTGAATTGGGATTTACATATCATGACCATGCCACGTGAACCGTACCCATAGTCACGATGATTTATTAATTAATCGCGCCTAAAGCAACTAGCGCATTTGAATTATTTTTTCTACTTCTAGATTATTGTGAAGGACATAGGTTATGGAATAGTTGTGGGAAAATATAGTATTTAACATTTTTTACTAAATAAAAAAAATGGATTAACTTATATCTAAACCCAGATTCCTTCTAATGCACACCATTAGTAAAATAACAATTAAACTCCACAAGCTCACTAAACACATTAGATTATTTAAACAACTCTCAAACTCAATGTAGCAAACTAGGCACACTCGGAAGTCTATAATTGAGTTTCACCCCAATAAATAAACACTCTTATATAAAGATATAATCTAACTTGTGCCTCTCTAGTAATATTGATCCACTTGTTTCCATTAAGCAAATAAATAATTCGTGGCACACACGGAAGAGTAAAAATCAGATTTTTGGCTCAAAGAGCGAATTCTTGAGGGAACGCCTCAACCATAAACTAATAGATCAGAACATAAAACCAACAAAATTATCACCTAAGCAATACATGGTTAATTTAAGCAAATATGCAGCAGGATATTTCAAGCAATAATCTTTATCTAATCAAAATAAATAAATAAATTCGAACCAGCATCTAAAGAAAAATCGACGCACAGATAGATCAATAACAGAGAATGAAGATAAGAGATTGGACCTCTATTGATTTCTTTGCAATTTGAGAAAAAGGACAAAACAAACTCTGACACGTGAAACCAAACTTCAACGCCGAGACCGATGGGAAAGCGGCATCCAGGACACAAACAGAGTACTCGAACAGAAACTCGCCATTGACTGGAAACCTTGAACCCAGCAAAACATCACTGTTTTAGGTGGGGAAAAAAAAGACTATTCTGAGGTATTTTTATGGCTAATTTGGTGTATTTTTCTGGATTTTCTTTGCGTTATTTGGGCCGAGGTGAGGACATTTTTTAAACTGTTTTTGCTGGATTTGAGGGCTATTTTCGGAGCTGATTTTCGGGACTGTTTCAGCTGAATTTTGGGGCTGGATTTCACTGGTTTTACTGAGTTTTGGGGACTGTTTTGATCATGTTTTGGGGGTGTTTTTCAGCAGTGTTTTGGCTGTATTTTGGCTGGAATTTTGGACTGTTGTTTAGGCTGTTTCGAGGTGATTTAGAGGCTGGTTTATCGAAAGTTTTCAGCTCATTTTTGGAGCTTTACTCGGCTGGTTTCAATGGAGTTTTAGGGGGTTGCTTTTGGGGTGTTCATGGCTGAAAAAGAAGAGGATGTATGGGGGTTTTGGGTGGTGTTTTAGTGGCTTTATGACTAATTTACAGGGTGGTTTAGGGGGCTTTTTGAGCTAATTTTCACATTGGGAAGAAAAGTTCGTGAGCTGCCGCTATAGTGAAGAAGAAGTCGTGGATTTTCATTGCTGCTATGAGGAAGGGAAAAATCCCTCTTTTCTTTCCAATCCCCCGTTTCTCTCTCGTTTTTCAGCGATTTTCCCCAACCCCCTTTTTGTTTGTGCTCTGTTTTTCCCTAAATGTGTGATGAGTGTGTAGATATATAGCTGAGTGAGGGTGTGAATATAGTGCCAAAAATATGAGCAGGTGAGTGGATATTACTTGGGAGGAATCTTTCTCTCTTTCCAATGCACTCCAAAGAAAAAATATGTTATGTGAGAGAACGTGAGGCACGAAAATGAAATTGGCAATGCCAGGGAATCTTTTGCAACTTGGCCATTTCTGATTGGTACTTTTTATTTTTTTATTTTAAAATTCTTTTCTTTTTAAGCCAAGTAAAGAAAAATACAAGGACAAAATATTAGCTAAAGTATCTCTTAAAAGAGAACATATTTTTTTTGTGAGTTTTTCTTTTCTTTTTCAAATGAACAAAAAATTAATATTCTAAAAATGTGAATCATTTTGATGGTTTTTAATTTTCTCAAATAAAACCTATAAAAGGGTGAAACAAAAGCTAAAATATCAAGATTAAACTTAAAAATATTTAAATACTAAAAAGTGGTGAAAAAACTAAATATGGTCAAAAATTAGATGCTCACAACATGCCCCTCTTTGCTTGGAAACATGAAGAGTTTTCAGCCAAAGGCAAGGTGAGCTGTGTGACTAATTTTTGACCAAACCATTATTTAAAATGGAAAGAAATAAGATAAAAGAGTGCAACCGAGTCCTGCTTGTGGACAACCTACATATCCCGAGTTATAAGGGAATAAGGTCGCGTGTAGTTCAAGGAGAATGATGGAATGCTGGAATGATGAGTTCGAGAGTCGAGTGAGGTTCCGTCGAGGATCTGGTCCGTGGTCCTGTTATTACATCAAAATCAAAATCAAAAAAAACTAAACAAGCCTATTAGCTATGAGTTACAAGATTCTTATTTATAAGTCTTTGAAAATATGATCTAGAGTCTTGACAGGTTCTTCACACAGACTCTGATCTGAACCTTGATGCTTGCTAGCTGCAGGTGTTAGTTCATTCTTCTAAGGCTTTTTCAGATCAAAATGGAAAATGCAATGCTCCTGACTTCAGTCATGTCTTGAGCAGTCCACATTTTTTCATTTCCTTCTGCATTTTGGATTCACTTATTTTTTCTTTTCTTTTATTCAGAATTGATCCTTCTTCTTTTGGTCATCTCGAACCATTTGCCTCGACGTAAAACCTGTTCAGACACCAAAACAAATAAACGAACGAAATTTTTCTGTCCCAATTTTTATTAGGAAAATATTGTGAATTATTTATAACAAAACTCTATACTACTTTATTTATTAAAAGCAATAAAAGGTCTGGATTGGTGTACCCTGGGAAAACGTGATTCTTTGGGAATGGTGTACCCTGATTGTTTAAATGGTGCCTCAACTAAGTATTGGTATACCTTATGTTGGGGAAATGCGATGAGGGAATGATGTACCCTATATTTAGCAAAGATATCAGGGAGTGGTATACCCTGCATTTAAGATCAGATTAACTAGGGATTAGAGACCCTAATGTTGGAGAGAAGACTAGGGAGTGGGGACCCTATGTCTAAAATAACATTAACTAGGGAGTGGAGACCCTATGTTAGAAAGGAGACTAGGAAGTGGAGACCCTATTTCTAAAATAAAATCAACTAGGAAGTGGAGACCCTATGTTGGAAAAGGAAGACTAGGGAGTGGAGACCCTACGTCTAAAATAAACGTCAACTAGAGAGTGGAGACCCTATGTTGGAAAGAGAGACTAGGGAGTGGAGACTCTATGTCTAAAATAAAATTAACTAGGGAGTGGAGACCCTATGTTAGAAACGGAGACTAGAAAGTGGAGAACCTATGTGTAAAATAACGCCAACTAGGGAGTAGAGAACCTATGTTGGAAAAGAAGACTAGGGAGTGGAGATCCTATATCTAAAGTAAAATCAACTAGGATATAGAGACCCTATGTTAGAAAATGAGACTAGGGAGTGGAGACCCTATGTCTAAAATAACGTCAACTAGGGTGTGGAGACCCTATGTTGGAAAAGAAGACTAGAGAGTGGAGACACTATGTCTAAAATAAAATCAACTAGGGAGTAGAAACCCTATGTTGGAAAAGAGATTAGGGAGTGGAGACCCTATGTCTAAAATAAAATCAACTAAGGAGTGGAGACCCTATGTCTAAAATAACATCAACTAGGGAGTGGAGACCCTATGTCTAAAATAACATCAACTAGGGAGTGGAGACTCTATGTTGGAAAAGTGACTAGGGAGTAGAGACCCTATGTTGGAAAAGTGACTAAGGAGTGGAGACCCTATGTCTGAAATAACGTCAAGTAGGGAGTGAAGACCCTATGTTGGAAAAGAGACTAGGGTGTGGAGACCCTATGTCTAAAATAAAATTAACTAGGGAGTGGAGACCCAATATTAGAAAAGAGACTAGGGAGTGGAGATTCTATGTCTGAAATAACGTCAACTAGGGAGTGGAGACCCTATGTTGGAAAAGAGACTAGGGAGTGGAGACCCTATGTCTATAATAACGTCAACTAGGGAGTGGAGACCCTATGTTGAAAAACAAACTAGGGAGTGGAGACCCTATGTCTAGACCCTATGTTGGAAAATCCAGCTAGGGAGTGGTGTAGCCTATACTACCATGATTTTGAACTTTGTTTTTTCTTTCTTTTTTCATCATTCATTTTTTTTTTTTCAATTTAGAGAACGAGTAAATGCGGGAAAAAATTTTGGAGGAGACTTCCCTTTTGGAGTTGTTGATGCAAAGTTGTTTCTAGCCTTCGCGCAGTTTCTTTTTGGTTGCACCTGCTTCTTGCAAGGTTGCTTTTGGATTGTACATGTTTTCTGTTTTTCAAACAAAGAACAATTGTTAATTTGAAACGGTGGTTGGTTTTGCGGCCTTAAGTGTTTCAGTCACTTGATATTGGCCAGTTTCTTTGATGATACTTTCACTTGCAACTGGTTGTTTCCTGAATACCGATTGCACTTCTGGCCCTAGAGAACCCTTGGATTTTCCCAAAACTTTGCCATGACGGTTGGTCGCGTGGGACTTAACCTTTTTCAACTTTATTTTGCCTGTGTAGGACTTTCACTTCCTTCTTCCAATTTTAGCTTAAGAGCATTGGGGAACCTTTGGCTTTTGCCAAGGCGGTTAGCCACTTGGGACTTAACCTTTTCAACATCATTTTACCCTTATAGGCACTTCAATTTGATTTTCTCCTTCCAAGAGTTTTTTGATTTTGAAGTATCGACTACCATGGCCAGTCGGGGTCGACTTGATGCCCCTGCCAAGGCTGGGTGTCATTTTTGCATATTAGTGTATCAAACGAGAACCCTGTAAATCAGTCTTGCTATCTCTTCTTTGCCTTAGTTTTTTGGAACAAAGTTAGACCGAAAACGATTAAAAAAAAAAAACAAATAATTGAATGAAAAATGAGTTTAAACGAGAGTTGTCCTTTTCGGGGAACGGAAAGAAGGACTTATCTGGAGTACCTACGGACTTCAATGAACATGACATGTCTTTTGGACTGGATGCCTGATCAGTGTGAACCGTCCGACTCTCACAAATTCATCACAACTTTTGCCTCGAAACCGAGAAACTTTGCCCAGGATTGTGTTGGTGCCAATGGCTGTGAGGATCCTCTTTTTCAATTAGTGGTGCCCTCTGCGGGTTTTCACCAACTGACCTCTCTCATTTCTCTTCTCACCATCGCCTTATAGTGCTCTTTGTGTGTTTTCACTAAAAAGACTCTGTCATTTTTAATTTCTCTACTTACCATCGCCTTACGGTATCCGTGAGGATTTTCACAAACAAGACTCTCTCATTTTATTTCTCTCATTTGGTTATATCAGATCCAAGTGATTGTATCCTTCAATTCTTGAATATTCTCGTTGATTGATCGGAAGGACTTGAAAATGATTTGGGTAAAAAGGATTTGGATTGAATTATAACTTTAGAACCTTTCAGGCGAAACTATCGTTGAACCATTGTAAGATTTGCCCCAGTTTCACTTTTGGGAGGAATGTGGATTTTTGTTTTAGTATGACTGAACCCCAGAGAGAGGCTGTCTACGTATCCTTTCAGAATCAAGTCAAACGCAGTTCAATGAACTTGTTTGGATTTTTGTTTTGTTTTCTTTTTCTTATTCTTTCTCTTTTTTTTTGTCTTCTTTGTTTTGTTTTTCTTCTCTTTTTTATTTCTTGTTTCTTTTTTTTTTATAGCATCTTCAGATTCTAAGAGTGTAATCAAAGAAAGGTAACCAGTTCAAAAGGGTTAGCAAAGGGTTGATAGTGTTTGAATAGCAAGAATGAAAGCCTTCATCATCCCAATTAGAGAACATTAATAATACATAGAGGGTAAAACATAGTACCTTTTGACTACATCCGCGTTGACAGTTGTTTCAAGGGCATTTCCTTCGATGCTTCCCAGGTACAATGCTCTCTTTTGCAGTAATCGCGTTACAATCTATGGACCTTTCCAATCCAGAGCCAATTTTCTTTTAGCTTCTTCATGAGGTGGGAGGATACGTCTCAGAATGAGTTGTCCTATTTCAAATTTCCTGGGCCGCACTTTCTTATTGTAGACACGGGCCGTTCTTTGTTGGTACAACTGCCTGTAGAAAACTGCGGCCAATCATTTTTCATCAATCAGTGTCAATTGTTCCAATCGGTTCTTGACCAATCATTATCCTCAATCTCGGCTTCAACAATGATGCGAAGAGAGGGAATTTCAACTTCTTCCGATTTCATTGGGACTTGGCTTAGGCCTACTGTTCCAATTCTTTATTTATTTTCTCACAAGCCTTATCTTCAACATATTCTGCTTCTTGATTCATTATTTCGAGGTCTGACAGTGTTTTAGGATCTGGGCATGAAGTCCGCAAGCATGTCATGTTATTAAAATCTACATTAACAGAACTGAAAAGAGAATAAGAAAGGTGACAATATTAAGAAAAGAGACATTTGTTAACGATAAAATATTAATTTCATTTATTTGAAACTTTTATTTAATATAGAAGAGTTTACATCAGAAAGAAAAGCAGTGAAGTAAAACATCCAGATTACACCCTGAAATAATTCGTACGCAGAAAAGACAGCAAGACCGGCTACCGAGACTCCCATCTAACAAAGAACTTTTCAGGTTTGCCACTCGTTTTTAGGTTTCTCTTCTGCCGCG